ATACTGAGCGGACGTGATTGTTGCAACGAGGCGAAGAAAAGCTAGCGGACTACTTCCCATCAACGACATACCACTTCAGCTTTTACCATTGAATGCTTTATCGTGGGGAAAACGCAGGCCTCTTCGTTACTCTGACCCCAGCGCGATTCCCCTCCACTACACCAGTAGCAGAACAATGGGAACACAAGGTTATTTTGACTAGAGCAGGATCGGAATCATAAAAGTGCATTACAGGTAGGTAGGACACATAATAAGTTATGCAGTGTGAAACGAACAAACATACCGTGACAGATAAGGTTGTGCTCGAGGAGGGTCTGCCACATTCCGCTGATCTGAAAATGATGGCATGACGATCACTTATTTACAGCCCTATGTAGGAGGATAGATATGACTGGCTATAGCATCGGCGCTGAATAAAAGTGCCAAAAGTGCCTAAAAATCGAATCGTCCAAGGGGTGGAGTTGTCTGTGTACGCGTGGCGCTATACCGAAAGAGCTTACTGAAAACTGTCAATCTTTTCCTCAATTCGCAGCGCAAGAACAGTTTCAGCGAGAATTTTTCGGCTGTTTATGGGCGCTGTTCGGCTTGGGGGGGGCATTTTGCGGGACGAAACCAGCAAAATGCCCTCACCAAGCCGAACTGCACCAGCTTATGTGCTACCACGTCTAAGATCCTCTGATAAGAGCTTATATCGGTACTTCTGTGAGGTATCTCTCTTTCTACATTCAATTCCTGCATTAGTACATATGAGCTGCACTAGCTACAAGACCCCTCACAAAAGCGTCCCAGTGCTTTCGAAAATGCCTGCAGGAAATTGAGTCTTACCTGAAACCTCGAAAGGGCGGGCGAATGCGCTCCAGTTGAAACGGACAAGTCCAGCAACCAGTCCACCATCTCGCTTCCCACCATGCAATCCGTGTACGGCTGAAATTTACCTGTGATAGAATCCCGAAAAGGAGCTCACAATAATTTCTATTTTTTTTATTAATTAAGGACTTCTGAAAGGCGGTCGGTCCCAACGCAAGTCCTACAGGGTGCATACTCCAAGTACAGAAAAGAATAGGTCCCTGAGGAACTGATATGCTCAGCGAGGCAATCGAACCTACTTCGAAGAGTCCAGTGGGGCTGAGACTCCGCCTCCCAGTAGAGTGCCCGCCCCCTATCGTTCGCATATCGTATATCGAAAACTGCATCGGAAAAAGAAAAATTTTGCCTTCGAAAAAGCTGCATCTTGCCATTTGCTAGCGCGACTGCCATCTGAGTAAAATCATCCAAAGGAGCTATATTAACCTTTGAATTGCCCTCGCCACAGAACAGTGATTAGAGCAGGGTTTCAAATTGCGTAGTCTAGTCTTTTGGGTTGCATTTTTCTTCAGTACCACATCACGGTGCACCTCTAATTTTCTTCAGCACAAAGAGATCACCGTACCCATTGTCGTCAAAGCAAGTCCCATGTTCGCCCTACGGGCAGAACAAGTTTTGGCGCTCTACCCCTTGAACGGAGCACCCTTTTTTCCCTAACAATAGGACAGTGAACGGAAGGGGTACAGTCATGAATAAGGCATGATGGCTCCAAATGGTGAGGCCGGCTCCGCCCATGCGACAGGAGCGGATGTGCATATAAAAAGTTGGTGACGTTCAAGAACCTATCAAAAATTGTTAGTCTGATCTCACAGCAAATAGCAAATCATTGATTAGCCAGAAAAGCTCTCACCACTTTGTGGATGATCCTCTCGCGAATGAGATGAGGCGCGCCTGTGAGCATCGTATGTTTCAAATGTGCTCCAACTTCTCGAATTCGTGCTTCGAACGACTGAAATCATCAAGTTCAATGAGGCGAGGGTTCTTATTCCTTTGAAACTACTTACAATAGTGTTATTGAATTCGATGATGCTGCCTTGATCGTAGGAGTGTTGAGGCACCTGGTCCAACTCGGTTTGTACTGCAGTCATGTCAAAAGCTGGTCCTGGAAACTACAAATTAGTCTCCGCCCTTTAATTATCATTCAGAAACGCCTCACAGGATGATGGCTAAACAGCTTCAAAAAATGCTTGAAAAAGAGTGAAACTAAGGGATAAGAATAAGCTTAATCTGTGAAGAGCTTGGAATGAGAAGGCCCTACTATCCCATTGCTGCCTCGCCGGTACGTGGATTTTCCAACCTGGCCATTCGCTATACTGCTTGTTATACTGAGGAAAGGTAGATTCACTCGATGCTTAAAGCCATCTATGGCTCTGAATGAGAAGTGGGTCAATGTACATTCCATATCCCACAGATGGGGAGGGCGTGGTGGCTACCAACTCCGCCTGGACAAAACATCAGCGGCTGGGACTTTGGTGGCATATTGCTGTTCTGAAACGGATGCAGTCAAGTTTTCTTCCCACATAAGAAAGGAAAACAGTTTTCTTGGATGGAAAGATATCACAAGAAGCGCAATTTTTAAACAAGCACTCGGAGCTGAAAAATGATCCTACTCCAACTTCAGATGAAGCATGCAGTCACGCCCTCCCCATTTCCGGGATATGGAGTGTAGATGTCGGCACAAGTCAATTCCACGTTTTACTTGATCGAAACTAAACAGTGATAGAATATCAACTAGGTAGTACATCCTCTCGGTTGAAAGTTTATCCTCTCTTTCTTCCCCGTCCACAAGTGGTTGTTCGAGCAATGGTTGCTCGGAAAGTGAGGGGACAATGCTATGATTTTTTGGAAAATCTCTCCCAAGTTAGTAATGCGGGATTTTAATGAGGTCCCAGTATTCAAAGAAAAAACACCGAAAATGAAAATAAACGAATGTGTTGAAACATTATGTTGCAAGTTTTCTCGGCCAGGGGACTAATAAGCAAAGCGAAAAGGTGGTAACAGTAAAGTTTGCGAGTGGGGCGCCATCCCTCAATGCTGTCAGGTTGGCTGGCTTGCCACATGGAGTGCTCTTCAGTGTGAATCGAGGCGATTTGGAAGAGCTATAGCCTCGCCTAAACCTCCCCTTTGTTTCGACAACGTTTCTCAGCCTGATAAAGGAACACAACAGCTTTGCAACACGGTGGGTTGAGGTTGATACAAGAGGTGCCACTTCCTATTTGGTTCTTGGCCGGAAGTATTAAAGTGTTATACAATTGCTGCTACTGACAATGCTGACCAAGGCAACCTCCACCATTATCGAAGATATGCGGCCATATTGTTTCAGTACTGTTTTCATGCGACAGATTGCTTTATTGGGCGATAAGACCGTCACGAAAGCTTAGTCACAAGCTGCTTATTCAAGATTTTCTACTGAATAGTGTTCCGCAGCCTCACTCGGATCTAAGTTTTGTACGAAAAAACATGAACAAGCAGCAAAAGTCATTGCGAAGGCTAGAAAAGCTTGGAAGATCCCCACAGTTTCTGCAATTCCCCTCCGAATATTTCGGGTTTTCAGCACCTTCTTCAGCGAAGACTAGTCGCCTCAACGATAGCCTCGCCTAGAAGGCGAGGATAAGCACCGAAGGACAACTGGGAAGACTTTCGGGATTCTTCAGTCGTAGAAGCCTTTTGCGATAGATTCCTTGCCTCTCTATGTTTGTTTACCCTCAGATTCTTCATGAAAGATAAATGGGGTGAAGTCTTCACCATTTATCAATCCTTTTTTGAAACGCGGTACAAATTCTACTTCCATTCAGGATTGTAGTGAATCATTGACTGCGATATGGCCTACAAAATGGCTTACGAGGCCCAGCCAATATACAAGTCAGTGTTCTTATCCTGAAGATGAATATGTATCAATTCGCCGCTCTCGGAGTATTTGACGTCCGGACCGCGCAGCGGTACGCGTGCCACTTTCCGCTGGGAGACGGGCAAGAGAATCGTAATTGCCGCTCCGCCGCGCGCGGCGATGGGCGCGGCGTTTTCTTAACTCGTGTTAACCTGTCGATTGGAGCACCGGACTTCATGTAGACCCCGTCATCGTAGACATTCATGACTATTTTCGGTTCTGAATTGCCTGTTGTCGCCATCTACTACCTGGAACCATCGTCATTTGCGGCGCGACGTCGCACGCGACGCCCACCAGCGCGGTGAATTACGATTCTCTTGTCACATACCCCTTTCCGCTACACCACCTCCACCCATCAAATTTTCGATAGTTTACCGATTTCCGTGCTGACATTTCTCCCGCTAAACAAAGCTGCACCGAACGACCATGCGAAATCGATGATGAGCATTGATTGAAAAGTACCTAAGCCTATTCCCAATCGATCGATGAGTGAGATTATTACGAAGAAGAAATATGAGCAATTTTGGAAGCAGACGGTGAGAAAGAACGAAAAGTTCGATGGTTTTTCTAAGTATCACGAGAGTGACATCTGCCTGCTAACCATAAAATAGCTCAAGTCTATTGATTGCAAGGGTGAATACAACGGTTGAGGTTCCTTTGCACTTTTGATTGGTTGTCTTCTAATTGGTTCGGCTCAGTGAGTATTAGATTGAACTTCAAAACCTGGTGAGGGTGCAGCTATACCGTTGAAACCCTTGCCCTGTCAAAGTTATAAAAATGTCGTTATTTCGGCTCTTGAACGCAGCAGATTTACGACTCCTCTACCCTCAGCTACCCTAACACTTCCTTTCTTTAAATAAAACAAAATATGCAACGTTATTAAACAAACAGTGAAACTAACGCTTGTTCCCAATAGCCGGGCCCTCAACTACTTCTGAAGCAGCTGATGGACAAGGTTTGGCGCA